CAGGGTGCAAACCCATCGTGGCCAGACATCTCTCACTCTAGGCCTGTCTGCATTCTTCACTGCAAATCCAGTGAAACTTCCTCTGACACTTTGCTGTTGCTTGACTTGAGGTTGGCCCATTGTAGCGTTATTCCAAACTATGACAGCAGCGTCTATTGAGTGGGAACTCCTGTCTGTACTTGGAGAGTGGCTGAGCAGCCTTGGGTGCAAACCCATCGTGGCCAGACATCTCTCACTCTAGGCCTGTCTGCATTCTTCACTGCAAATCCAGTGAAACTTCCTCTGACACTTTGCTGTTGCTTGACTTGAGGTTGGCCCATTGTAGCGTTATTCCAAACTATGACAGCAGCGTCTATTGAGTGGGAACTCCTGTCTGTACTTGGAGAGTGGCTGAGCAGCCTTCTCACACACACCTGTGTCTCTCAGGCTTGGTCTACACCAGGCCAGGAAGGGCGGCTTAAGGTATGCAACGCCAGCTACATAAAATACATAGCTGGAGTTGACTTCCCTTAAGCTGAGTCTTGGCAGCGTCCACATAGCGTACAGGCATCAGCAGGAGCTGCCCTCAGTATTCGATTTATGGGTCTGTACTAGACCCACTACATCAAATGCCAGAAGATCAACCTCTGGAGCGTTGATCTGCCAGTAAGTATAGATGGGCTCCCAGTGCTCCTGCCATTCAGAGCCACAAAACACCCCTGCAGTGGAGGGGAGGGGAACTGGAATTCATCCAGCAAAGGGAGTGAGAGCTTCCAAACCAATGACATGTCATACACTTGCCCACAAGATCATCATCCTGTAAACATACAGAAGAGAAGAGAACCAGAAATGTAGCTCAAGGCCTCTTACTTTTCTGTCTTTAGTAACTGCCCACACCACATTTACGCCAACAGAGACATGCAGGATCCCATTTTCAGAGCTTGGGGGTTCCACAAGTGTCCAAGAAACTCCTGCCAAATAAACAAAACAAGGAGTCATTGTTCCTTAGACTCTGAGTTCTCTACAAATCAAAGCGACCTCCCTGCATGACATGACAGGGGTTTACCTTGAGGGTTATTTCTATCAATCCCTTCTCTCACAATAGCTTGCCCCTCCCAAAGAGTTGCCCACAGGAGGTCATATGGTCCACAGCTGATCTGTACTGCTTCTCCGGGGGTGGCTATAAAGGACCATGAGGAGCCTTCTGGATTGTGGTGGCACACGTCTTCTCTATACCATACCTAGGACAGACACACAAGCCTTAGAAACATGCCATCCTAATATAAACCATCAGGACTTTTTGGGCAAACCCCTGGCTGGCCTAATGGAAAGGAGAGAGTCATTCTTCTCCAGCCAAAGCTCCTTTCATAGAATTTGCACTCTCACCTTTAAGTGGCATTAGTTGAGTAGATTATACAGCTGCAAACCATTTCCATGTGTAGCAAGGGAGGCGGCTTTTCTATAGACTAGCTTTTATGATGCATGACAATTTGGCCTGGGCCCATGATCTCTTGCTATGTGAGCTGTGTCTATTTCAACATTCAGTGCCGTTAAATTTGATTCAAGACATGTTAAGGGGGGAGGGATAGCTCAATGGTTTGAGCGCTGGCCTGCTTAAACCCAGGATTGTGAGTTCAATCCTTGAGGAGGTCATTTGGGGCAAAAATTTGTCAGGGATGGTGCTTGGTCCTGCTGTGAAAGCAGGGGACTGGATTTAATGACCTTTCAAGGTCCCTTCCAGTTCTAGGAGGTAATCTCCTTGAATTTAAATAAACTAAGAAAGAACCACTGAACCGCACGCTAAGAATCCTTCATCTTCAGGAAAATATACAGCATTTACATGACTACACCACACTCAGTCACTACTACTGATAAAAGTCACGACCTGACAATGAGCTATACATGCTGATAGACACCATCTGTCTAAGAGCCAATACCTCACCTCTTGTGCGGGTGCCCAATTCAGCATTCAGACATAGCAGAGAGGACATGCCACTTTCAGGGTTTTGTACTTGCCAGTGCTGTTCTCTCAGATAGGCATTTCTGCAGGTTATGCTTATCAGCTAGTTGACTCCTCAACTTCTCCTTCACATCCCTAGTTGATACGCTCTCCTCCTTGTGGAGGCAGTGGGCACTACAGCCCCACAACAGTTTGCTTTGGCAGAACTTCCATTGGTGAGGTACCCAAAGCACTGTACAATGTTAATTAAGGAACCCTGTAAGGCAGGGAGCTATCATTCACCCATGGAGAAACTGAGGCATGGGAGGCTTGGGGGTTTTAAGCAACTTGCCCAACACTACGCAGCCAGTGACCACACAGCCAGTCAGTGGTAAAATGCAAATAGACCTTAGGAATGAACATTGGTTGTAGCCACTAGACTATACTCTCTCTCTCTCTCAAAACACAGTTAATTCTAGACTTGTTAGACACAAGTCAGAGACTGTCCATGGCTAGAAGGAAGGCAGCCCAGACATGAAGGATGGAGTCCTTAAAGAATGGGGAAGGAAAAGACAGACTTCACCATGGGCCTAAGAAAAGGATGGGAGAGGCATATTTTTGTGGCACTGAATATTATTCAGGCAGTCCCCGAGTTACACGGATCCGACTTATGTCGGATCCGCAGTTACGAACGGGGCCCTCCCTCTCCTTGGTCTCCAGCAGACCAGGGAGAGGAAGCAAAGCGGCGGAACACACGGGCAGCGGACAGCCCAGACGCGTCTGGGCTGTCCGCTGCCCGTGTGTTCCGCCGCTTTGCTTCCTCTCCCTGGTCTGCTGGAGACCAAGGAGAGGGAGGGCCCCGTTCGTAACTGCGGATCCGACATAAGTCGGATCCGTGTAACTCGGGGACTGCCTGAATAATATTCAGTGCCACAAAAATATGCCTCTCCCATCCTTTTCTTAGGCCCATGGTGAAGTCTGTCTTTTCCTTCCCCATTCTTTAAGGACTCCATCCTTCATGTCTGGGCTGCCTTCCTTCTAGCCATGGACAGTCTCTGACTTGTGTCTAACAAGTCTAGAATTAACTGTGTTTTGAGAGAGAGAGAGAGTATAGTCTAGTGGCTACAACCAATGTTCATTCCTAAGGTCTATTTGCATTTTACCACTGACTGGCTGTGTGGTCTTGGGCAAGTTGCTTAAAACCCCCAAGCCTCCCATGCCTCAGTTTCTCCATGGGTGAATGATAGCTCCCTGCCTTACAGGGTTCCTTAATTAACATTGTACAGTGCTTTGGGTACCTCACCAATGGAAGTTCTGCCAAAGCAAACTGTTGTGGGGCTGTAGTGCCCACTGCCTCCACAAGGAGGAGAGCGTATCAACTAGGGATGTGAAGGAGAAGTTGAGGAGTCAACTAGCTGCAAGGGCTGGATTCCAAAGTTACCTTACCGCCAGCTCAGGAGGGTTCACTGTTTCCAACAAGCTGAATTCTTCCCTTTCCCTGTTCATTGCAAGCAAGGTCAAGAACGTAAGAATGGCCGCACTGCTTCAGACCAAAGGTCCATCTAGCCCAGGGGTTTTCAAACTGGTTTTCTCATGACCCAGCTGAAGAAAATTGTTGATGCCCATGACCCACCATAATTTGACTAGAGTGGAGTGGAGCTGAGGATGAGGACTCTGAGCTGTAGGAAGGGGCTCCAGCTTTGTGGGGGTGTCAGGGCTGGGGCAGAGGGGACTTTCCTTGAGCAGCTCCTGGCCAGCAGTGCAACGGGGGTGCTGAGGCAGCTTCCTGCCTCTCCCAACACTGCAGAACATGCTGTGCCCCAGAAGCAGCTGGCAGCAGGTTCCCAGCCAGAGGGAGTGTGGAGCTAGTGCTCAGGGCAGGGGTAGTACACTCCCCTCCCTCCACCTAGGAGCCAGGCCTATTGCCGGCTGCTTCTGGGGCGCAGCATGGTCTGCAGTGCCAGGACAGGCAGGTAGCTGCCTTAGCACCCCCACTGGTCATCTGATCACCCAGCAGCAGTGAGATCCAGTGCCTGACATTCCATGACCCAGTATTGGGTTGCGACCCTTGGTTTGAAAATCACTGATCTAGCCTAGTATCCTGTTTTCTGAGACTGGTCAATGCTGAATGCCCCAGAGGGAATGAACAGAACAGGCAACCATCAAGTGATCCATTCCCTGCCTCTCATTCCCAGCTTCTGGCAAACAAGAGGCTAGGGAGGCCATCCCTGCCCGTCCTGGCTAATAGCCATTGATGGACCTATTCTCCATCAACTCATCTAGTTCTTTTTTGAACCCTGTTATAGTCTTGGCCTTCATGACATCTTCTGGCGAGGAGTTCCACAGGCTAACTGTGCGCTGTGTGAAAAAACAACAGCTTCCTTTTGTCCATTTTAAATCGGCTGCCTGTTCATTTCATTTGGTGACCCCAATTCTTGAGTCATGAAAAGTGGAGCAAAATGGGATCCTCTGTATGGGTTCATTTTTCCCACACTGAAGAAACACACACCTATGACAGAGCACTTCTCAACTCTCCCTCTCTATTTTGATATTAATCTGCATTAATCAACAGCCTACTGCAGCATTTTATTTCCACGCCCCCTGTCAGACATGTCAAACAGCAAAGACAGCCAGCATAAGAAGGCCATGCTTTAGCTTGCAGAACATCTGTCTGGGTTTAAACACTGGGACTCACAGCTACTTAGCCAGTTGTGACCTGGCCTTCAAATAACCTCCATCCATGCAAACTCATCATCAGAAAAAAGCTCCTCACAGATCAGGACCCACCAGCTCAAAGTGCTTCCAGCCCCTGCCACAACGACAGATGCAACACCTGCAGACTTAACTCCACTGCTATGGGGATAAATACTACCCCTGCCACACACCTGTCAAGATGGAGGGTTCTACATATGTCTTTCATATGTGGCGTACCTCATCCAACACACTAACGGCCTCAACGATGACGAAGTGGGCAAAACCAAACAATCAGAATACTCTCAAATGATCTCACCCAGAAAAACGATAAAAGAAAAAAAAAAAGCCCCATCAAGGGTGTATACTTTTTGCAAAATGATCACGTCATATCTGCCCTCTCAGTCCTCCATCCTCAATGGAAACCTGCACAACACCTTCAAAAGACAAGCTAGGGAGCTCAATTTCATAACTTTGCTAGACAATAAAAACCATGGGTTCGGGGGATGTCTACACTGCCCATGTTACAGCGCTGTGGCAGCAACGCTGTGACTTGGGAAAGGTAGTTACTGGGGACAGCTCTCCCAGTGATAAAACAACCCCCACCCCGAAAGAGCAGTGGTAGCTCTATTGCGGGGAGTGTGACTTCCTGCAATAAAGCACTGTCTATATTGGTGCTTTTCTGGGCTACAAACTTTGTATCACTCAGGAGGGTGTTTTTTCACACCCCTGAACAACTAAAGCTTCAGCACTGAAAGTGACAGTAGAGACAGCCTTAATAAAGGCACTGGATTTATGCCCTAGTACAACAATCTGTAACCACTAACATCCTCTTTTTGTCTGATGACAGAGATTTTAATGGGTTCCTTCATCTTAGAATGGGTCTCTTAGAACGACTTCTGCTAAACTTTCTGTTCCAATTTGTATTTAGTTGTGACACTCAAAGTCCTAGCCTTGAAGAGGAGCCCTGGGAAGCAGGAAAGTTTGTCTCTCTCACCAACAGAAGGTAGCCCAATAAAAGATATTACCTCATCCACCTTGTCTCTCTAATACAGTGGTCCCCAACATGGTGCCCGTGGGCGCCATGGCGCCCGTGGGGGCATTTGTGTGCACCCGCCAAGTGCTCGGGGCTGGCCTGGCCCTGGGCACGTGGTGCATGCATGGTGCTGGAGCCAGCCCGGGCGCATAGTAAGCGCCGGACCCGGGAGCGCCGCAAATTGGCCGCTCGCGCCCCGGGTGCACGGCGCTTGGGGGGGGTGCGCAGCGCTTGGGGGAGGAGGTTGCCGGCCCCGGGCACGCAGCACTTGGGGGAGGGGCGCCGGTCCTGGGCGGGCATGTGTCCCCGCCC